CCCAGCTGCCCCCTAACTTATGTTTCCCTAAAACTGTACTAAAACAAACCTACACTATTTCCACAAGCTTCTCAAGCAACGAAACAAGCATTACATTAGTTAAAAGTGAATCATTTTAAATATCATTTTAGGCCCGTTAAAAACGCAGCTACGGCCCTGCATTAAACTGTGGAGCGGCGTTCACACAGACCACGGCTCACACCGCTGCAGAGAGGGAGCGAGCTGTCCCACCACCTATGGATCAGCTTCCCCTGGGAGCATTTCCCTTTCCACTAGTTTTGTTTTTACTAAGGACGAGAGCTTGAAACTAAATGTTAATAAAACGCTGCCATTTGAATCGATAGCGTTTAACAGACGGGCGCTGTTTTACGTTACAAAATACTACGCAGACAGCGTTAGCTGGGAGATCGATCACTTTGCTAAACTACGCGGTAGCCTACTATTAAATCCACGTAAACTACACATCACAGCGATGAGGCCAGATCAATGAAACCAGGATACATCCTTTACTGTAAAAACTGGATCCAAACACAGCTGCCTGTGTGCGCTTGATCAATACTTTCTGATGTTATATGCTACATATTAGCTAGGCTACATGGCCCTAACGCGTAAAGTTATACAAGCATTTGTACCAGTGCTTTTCACAAGTAGACTCTTGCAGGCCAGAGTATAGGAGTGATTCAACAACAACACAAAGACATATGAGAAGTGATCAGGACGAACAGAAAGAGGAAAAGGAAAAGAGAGTTCACTGAAGAGACCAGGAGGGTCAGAGCATGAGGAAGCGGAGGAGATGAAGAGACCAGGAGGGTCAGAGCAGGAGGAGGAGATGAAGACATTAGTGAAGAAGAATAAATGTATGTGAGGAAAGAGGGCCAGAGGCAGGGATCAGGAGGCAGATGCAACTCCAGCTGTACCACATGGTATGTTCTTATTCTCCTTACATATTCCATTACAGCAGCACAATCTAGCAGCTCTTAGTATTGACAAATATTGATTGAAATGTGTTGCTGCACAGGTCACCTGTAGCTCTCTGAAGAGATGGGTGATGTCATTTGTGTACTTAATTATAAATTGAAATGTTGAGCTTGTCAATCTTAATCTGAAAATACAAAAACTGAAATATAGGTAAGATAAGAAACTGACACTTTTGTGATGTAATTCCCTCAATGCAGATCACACATGGACTGATCCATTATTTTAATAGGAGGGTAAATGGTATGGCGTGACGGGGTTGAAACAAACTGAGGGACAATATTGCAATTTCATAGATAATTCAAGTATTTTTTCAGAATTTATTTTTGATCAGTTAAAGTTGACAAGCATATGATTATATTAGCAGCAACATTTTTGGGATAATTGGCCATTTTGATTGGTTTGATATTAAATTAATATGTAATAATGCTTAGTGAGGACATGCAAATATGTCTGTCTAATACTAAGAAAACCAATTTTTTTAAAACAAAATATATATTTAGTTTGACATTGTAATGCAAAAAAACCTGTTCCATTAATTCATTGCTTTAAAATACATTTTGTAGTTTCCTTTCATTTAAAATTATTGAAGTAAGCTTGGGGGACTCAAAGGGCATCCGATTGTTTGTCTGAACACCTTGTTTCTCTTGTGCATTAAGAACACTTGTGTTAGGGCATGAATTAACAATAAATAGGTTATATACAGTATAAAATACCACGTACTGTCCGCCCTCCCATGCCACACTGGCATGACCTCTTGCCCCTCCTTTGCCCCCCCCATGTAAAATGTTCTAGAACCGCCACTGCTCCTCACCCATGTAACCAAGGAGATCGATCCAAAGAGCCCTTCCGTAAACACGGGGGCTCCCGGCCCGGGAGATCAACAACACGGTCCTTTTGGAAAGTCCCATGCGGCGTGATCCCTCACCGGGATATCACACGGCAGACAGCGGCCACGACCAAGCTACAAATAATCGCTCTGATCTGGTGAGGTGGGGGCATCTCCAGCAATGAGCGAGATGCCCAACACCCCCGTGTTTATTTGCAGTCGCCTTGTCACGCGGTAGCGTGGCAGAGCTGTTTTCAGCTCCCTGCCCAGCCTGCTGCCCGCTGGGAGCAGCTGCGCTCCGCCGCCATGGTCATCACCTAGGGCGGTGGACCTCCATGGACCGGACCCGGAAGTGCCCGACAACGGCAAACGGAGCCATCCGCCCCGCTGGAATAGCGACGTGAATGGCACCGCCTCGGCCATATCCTGGTCCCCCAAACACTCTAAGCAGAGGTGGTGGAGACCGGCACCCGCGATCAAACCAGGGCAGGTGCATGGCCGAGCTTCCAGTAATGGTGAGTCCATTTTTCCTTCTAATCTTCGTTTGTTTAACTCTTCGGTTGTCAGCTCGTCTGAAGAGAAAAAGGATAGTGGGCGGCGGGTGTAGCTGCCTTTATATAATGTGGGCCTGCGTGCGCATTCAGGTAGGCTCGCCCTGATTGGCCGGCTACGTTTACGAAAACTCAGTAGGTGAAAGCACGCACAGCATGATAGAGAGTAGTACCCATAGAGTCCAGTAGAGGGCGGAGCCTGTGTGAAATATAACAACTCACTACCATGACCTGTTGACCCTTTGCCACTTCTATATTTATGGCTAAAAATTCAAATTGCTTACTGATCGATTTGGAAACTAATGTGGTTACACTGAACTTATTCTTAACATAAATGGCAACGCCACCACCTTTATTAGGCCGGTCGGTACGATACACATTATAACCATTTAAGGCAATGTCAGAGGCCAAAATATATTTATTTAGCCATGTTTCTGATAAAACAATGACGTCAGCGTCAGTTGAGCTCGCCCAGATACGGATACGGAGTAGCGATCTGACTACTACTACTGGGCGGACCAGGGTTAGGTTGTACATTTCCTGACAGTGATAACAACAACAAAAAACAGGCATCTTTTCCTCTTAAACGACACACATACATTGTCATCTAATTTAGAAACACCGGAAAAGTCTGCGAGAGTGTGATTTGAGCTTAAGAAGCAGTCTTGAAGAACCATCATCGCAGGAAAACAAAAAAGACAAACATATTTTGTCGAGCAGATTGTCTGTGACAAGGCAACCGGTAATTGTTTGAGCAACACATCCGAACCTTTGCAGGGGATGCCCACTGCGGGTGGCAGAATAGACCTGAATCCAGTAGACTTCTCAGAATGACTAGAGATCTTCTCATAGTCCAAAACAGTTAACAGGCACAGCAGAATCCCGATATGGGCCATTTTCCCAGACCAGCACACAGTATCCGCGATGTTCCTGGAGCAAAATCAGCACAGCAGCAAAGGACAGGCGAAAACAGCAGCGTGGAAGCGCTCCGGTCCCTCTGTGGTATTCCCGGGGTGAAAGCAGGCCTCTGCAACAGCAGAACCAGGACAGGTGGAAAGCAGGCCCCAGCGGTGGTAAAATCCTCCTCCGTACAGCAGCACACGCCCGGTGGAAGCAGGCCAAGCCCGAAGCGTGGATCCACTCCGTCTCTCCGCGACGACTCCGGGGTAAAAACCTCTCCAGTACAGCCGTATTCTACAGGTGGGAGTAGGCCTCCGTAGATCGCAGATCGCAGGCAGCAACAGGTGGAGCCGCTCCGTCTCTTCGCGACGAGCAGGCCTCCGTAAATCGCAGATCCCATGCAGCAACAGGTGGAGCCGCTCCGTCTCTTCGCGACGTCTCTGGAGGAAAAACACCTCAGTACAGCCGCACTCGACAGGTGGGAGTAGGCCTCGGCAGATCGCAGACAACTAAAACTACTACTTGTATAAGCAGGGATGGCTAAAAGTTTGTAAGCAGGAGAGCTAGATGCTAACAGATGCCAGATGCTAACAGGTAGTGCGAGCCTGTAGAAATTGCGACTGCCTCCAATGACAGCGACTGGTTCAGGTGTATTTAGCTTTGACCTTACCACATCAATTATTTACACCTTCAGTTGAGCCCCGAGCCTGTTTTTCAGGCCTCGAAAATGACATTCCCAGAACAAATGACCATATTTTCCCTTCTAAAAGGGATACATTAATAATCCTTTTTCTCAAAGTAATGATAAACCTGTGAGTTGGATGTAGAAAAGTCAGAATCAATATAGATGTTTTTTATTTTAAAGTAAATTCAGATTGAACATAGTAAACAAATGTAAATGATTGTGTCCGTCCACAAAAAAAACATTACTTATAGTGAAAACCACCCTTGAATGATGGGATAGTAGACTAAAAGCTTTGTGAATCCACACTATAACATATAAGTACCCTGTATCAAGATTGATGCAAAAATGAGTGACATTTGACTGAGATTTTTTAATTTTTTTAAACAGTTCTGGGGTCATTTGGGTGCATTTTCCATACCTCTGGCTCCCGTTGGTCGATTTTGATGATTGACACCTCTTTTTAATCGTTAGAGCCAATAGAATCGAGGGGAAGTTCCTCAAATCCATCTAAACATTACCCATTGGTGAATGAGTGATGCGTAGCCAGAATGCCCCGGAACCGGAAGCTGTCATACACTCTAGTAGCTATCGTAGCAGCCAGCGCCGTAAAGCAGCTACAGTATAGAGAGGTGAAGTCCCGCCCATCTACTTCCGACCCTTGGGACCTTATTTCTGAAAAATTATGTATTGAAGTCAATGGGGAGAGAAAGATTATCTTTCGATCCCGTTTGAATTGTGCCACGAATTACACATATGATGTTTGTCAATCTTAAAAAAAAATTCCATGTAAAAAAAGTCACAGTTTGTCGTAAAACTGTTGAAATATAAGACTATGAAAAATACGCAACTAGAAAGACTACAAATCCCAGAATCCCGGTCCCGCATGCTGGCTCTTACGGAACCGACTAACTCCCCTTGTGTGTATGTACAGTACAGCTCTCAACATGCCCAGACTTGTAGTGGTTTTCACCTCGTTTAATACTTTTCGCCTCATTCGGAAAGAAAGAAGTGAAATATGCCAATGTGACGGCCATCTTGGTGTGTGGTGCGAGACGGGAGATGTAGTTCATTGAGAGTTTCACCCTCGCGGTGAGGCCCCCTCCGCGAGTTGAGGCCCCCTCCGCGAGGTGAGGCCCCACGCAGTCTGTGTGATCAGCCTGTCTCCATCTTCCTCTGTAATGCCAAAAGCCTGCACACCGTTTCCAGACATCTACATGTTGCCTCTCGTTTTGTCTTTCACCAACAAAAAGAGGCATGATAATTTCCTACGGTATAAATGTTAGGAGGTTTTTTGTTTTGATTTTGTGATTTTTCAATAACAAAAAAACAAAAAACTCCTTTTGCACTATAACAGAAACATGGATTGTACCCCATACTGGGGGGAAATGTAAACAGCCACATTCTGTTACAACTCCATGTACTGAGGAAGATCATGTGATGTGACGGAAAGCACCGGAACAAGGGACGTAATGGTAAGGCTTTATCTGTTTGAATTTGAACTAAATTGATCAGCACTTATTGTAAGTTGCTTAAAGGCAAATAGTAATATGTTTTTCCAATTTAAACAATAACTTAAACCCTTAATACAAATACAAATGTTTGTAATAGAAAAATGGCTCAGGTACATTTTTTAAACCATGAATAAGCATTATCTTTTTCTGTGATTGCTGTTCAAAATAAAAATGACAAGGAGCTAGTATCCTGCAATAACAGTAAGCTGCATAAGAGGTCCTGGCCACACATACTAGCACTATGGGTGTTGTAGGACGGAGTCAGGGAATCATGGGAGCTGTAGTGAGCTAGTGTGTGTTTAACTGCAGTGACAGATGAGATAGCTCAGCCAAGAGGAGGGTGTATTTCCCCCTCAACAGCACAGTCACAGTCGCCAGCAGCATCTTTATTCCTCTCAAGCTTTTTTTCCCCCGTAGGCATAGCTTTGTGCCCCCATCCCAGTCTCCCAGCATCTCACCCAGCCTGCCTCCCTGCCCGAGCCTCACTGAGCATGCATTGCCTACGTCACTCCTTTCAGCAGATGGGGAGGAGGAGGAGGGGGGAGGGTAAGACAGAAAGAGAGAAAGGGGAGGAGGAAGAGGGAGCTGTATGCCTATCCTGCATCAGCGTCAACATCACTGCCACGCCGGCCCCGTCACAGGAAAACAAGGAGGAAGATAGGCGCACAACGGAGCTTTAACACCATCAGCACCAGCAGCTCCTCCACCTCCACCAGACGTGCTTCCACAGATTAGGCCATAACGGTTTCCAGAGCATCTAAAGACTCCCCCAGGCAGGAGGGGCTCTCGCTGACATGACCTGAGAGGAGAGGCAGGAAGCCATCGGTATTGCTATCAACATGGGCAACCAGGAGGCGAAGCAAAAGAGAGCTGCAGCAGCATCCGGTAACGGGAGCTACCCTTCCCTGGATGAAGGATGGAAAGAGGGAGGAGGCGACACCACCAAAAAGGGGGGAAAGAAACCACACAGTAAGCATGGAGGTAAAGGAGCAGGCAGCGGTGGAGGAGGAGGGGGGATGCATGGCACAGGACCAGGGAAGAAGAAAAACAAATCCGAGTCCAAGTCCTCTGTTTTCTCCATCCGGAAGAGAAAGGGCAACCTGAAAGGGAGAGGGGACGTGTGCTCGTCAGTGACGGGATCGAAGGAGGAAGTTTTATTCTCCCAACATGAGGAGCTGGACACCAAAACACCTGACCTGTCTGCAGACGAGCTGGGGCAGTCGGACACTGAGGTTGAAAAGAAAAAGAAACCAGAACCGGGGAAAAAGAAAGAAGAGCCAAAGCAGGAGGTGCAGAGGAAAGCCTCGACAGCAGCAACCTCATCCGCGGAGGATGGGGGGCCGAAGAGGGGCAGCTCAGGGTCCGACACTGACATCTACAGCTTCCACTCCGCAGCCGACCACGAGGATCTGCTAGCAGACATCCAGCTGGCTATCAGGCTCCAGTATCAAACGCAGCATGGGGAGGTTTATCCTACTTTGGATGCACAAGGACCGGGAGAAAAGGATCTGAGTCTGAGGGGAGGAGAGGGGAGGAGGAAGAGTAATGGGGAGTTAAATGTACTCCTCCAGAGGTGATTGACCTGACTCCAGAATTAGAGCTGGGGTCCGATGCCCTGTCATTCCTGGAAACGGGAACTGTGTCCAGCTCTGTCAAGCTCACGGAGCAGACACCACACCCCTCACCCACTGAGGTACATGAGGGGGGGCTGGAGCATCCGGAGCTAAATGAGAAGGGGCAGAGGGAGAGAGAAGCCCCTCTTTGTGTTGCCACAGGCACAAAGCAGAAGCATGATTGGGTGCAGGAGCCCCCTCACACTACCATCACCATGGCTACAACAGGGGGGGAAACAGTCAGCCCGGTCTCCATGACAACCAGTGGTAACAGCTTCACTGACCTCACATTTGACAGTGCTGAGACCCCGGGGGAGAGAGCAGGAGGTGAAGGAGAGGAGGAGATGGATCCGGGGGTGGAGGTGGATCTCAGCCCTCCACCAGCAGACCCCCCCGAAAACGTGCTGAGCTCAGGGGTCGTGTTCAAAGAAGGTGAGGGTCTGTTGGGCTCGGGTACCAGTGCAGAGTCCCTTGAGGACAGCCTGAGTGTGGGGTCTGCTGCCCCCCCCTCCAACCAGCAGTGCAGGAAGAGCAGCGTGTGCTTCACCCCGCTGCCCCCCAAGGAGAGCCCCACATTAGCCAGACATCTCCTCAGGTCCACTCACTCCTCCACCTCCTCTTCCCCTGTGGTGAAACCCTACCCTCCCATCTTCCCCTCCTACATCAAGACCACCACCAGGCAGCTCAGCTCCCCTGGACACTCCCCCGCCCCTGTCCCCCTCCCACAGCCCCCTGTCCCCGCGCAGAGCCCACCACCACCTCCACAGGTACCTGGGGTGAAGTCACTTATAATAATGTTATTATTTCTGATTTGTTGATACAGTATGCGTTTTAACAGTCACAAGTGATGTTAATCCTTTGCAGTTAAAGTGTATTGTATTTGTTAGATAAAGAGGATAATTGAAGTTTATTACAAGATAGTGTTATTTTAGTAGTTAGAAACATACGAATTATTACAAAGGTTATTGATGGGGTCTGGGAACTTTGTGTTGCAAAAACAGAGTGTAATGATGACTGATCAGACAACGAACCTCCAGGTTGGTCAAACTTGGTAAAATGATCAAGTTATAACCCAAACATCCATCACAGTTGACAAACAACCTTCTTACTTAAACACTGACCCAGTGTAGTTTACATGCACAGAAAGAGATTAAAAGCAACACCACTTGCATAGTAACGTCACCAAGTTCCCAGATCTCATTACCTAAGTGAATATAATGTAGGGATTAAAAATGCACAAAACTATAATATCTAAATCTAACCAAAAGGGCACTCTGAGCATCGGCATCAATAACAGCGGCAGCACATGTTTCACGAATAAATCTCCCCAAAGCCAACAGGGAAATTAAATGTGATGTAATCAACAGCAAGTCCGCAATATTTTGAGGGTTAGGGTTAGAATGCTACCCGCTAGCTGTTTGCTGTAAGTGTCAAACAATGCTAAACTAACACCAAATAATAAAGTGAATACAATTTTCAAACACAAAATGTAGTAAACAGTCACACATTAAGGAAAGCTAATGTTATGGGTTTCATTAAGCAAGAAACAGCTTGGTTAGTAATGCAGATGGGCCTACGCTTCGTTAGCATTCAGTTAACAAACACTCAGCTAATTTATCTTTGTCCAGATGATGCACCTGGCTGTTAGAACTAAAGGTCCTGTACCCTATGTTTGTCCTGTTTGTGGGTACAGGACAAACATAGTACCCACAGCAGGTGCCAAATAACACATCCACACTCAGCTCTTTCTATAAATATCCTGTCATGTCTGTAAGGAACATTGGCACAAAAGTAATCCATGTCTGAATAACAGAAAATCAACACTATATAGAAGATAGATGTACCCTGCAAGGTTTCATATTCCATTTCTGAAAGGGCTTTAACTCAGGCATGTGGTTCCCTTCATATCCATTTAGTTTTAGAGCCCACTTGCATCCTTGTGATGGGCATTCCTTTAAAGTCAGAATGATGCCTGCTATTGTTTTTGAAGTAGCACTACTGAGTGAAATTCATAAATAAATAAAAGTATATATATATTTAAATTAATTTAGACCATTGGCTTTTGGAAAAATCCAAATAAAATGAAGTCTGAAAAACTGTAAAAGTTGTGACTTCTGTCTTTGACTATACAAGGTGTGTCGTTTATTTTCAGGCTTAACACTCACATTTCAAAACAATTGTTGCTCCTTTCAACAATCTACATTACCATAGTAACACACTGACACTGTTCAAATGTTACTGTGTTGGATTTGAAGGTAAAACATCACAGTAAAGGCACATTATTTGGGTGCTAGATTTAACCAGACAGGGGGGATTTATGTCCTTTGAGTCTGCTACAATACTAAAAGTGGGCTACTGCCAAATTTGAAGAACATTTGTAATTTGCCTGTTTTTATTGTATCATTGTAGTTTGCCCATTGTAAAAGGTGTTGTGAGGGATCTGTTTCCAAAGCAAAGCTAACCTGTAGTGTGTGTGTTGACAGGACGATGGCTGAGAGTCCTCGGGTCCGGCGGCAACGCTCTCGAAGCCTCGCTGGCTCTCTGAGTCGCTCTGCTGACTGGACGGAGGCGCTGGAGAGGAGGCTGAGGAGCAGGGAGGAGGAGGGGGGTGGTTCAGGGGAATATCTGTTGAGCTACAGAGGAGGAGGCAGCCAGCCCCTCTGTGCCACCAGAAGATCCTCCTGTGGACAGGTTTCTACCTGCAGCTTTCAGGACATCTTCACAGGTGAGCAGGAAGCAATGTCACTGTGGGCAAGAAGAAAGCAATATGCTCAACGTAACAAGTTGGAATCAATGGATATGCAGACACAAACAATTCAGTGTATGCTTAATTGGATTTCTTCTGATTAATTCAGCTAGATGTCAGCTAGAGAAAGTGACACTGGTAATTCCTAAAATCACTGGAGTATTCTTTTGAATGTCATGCATATAAGGGTCCATTACCTTGACAAGCTGATTGACCAATGATTTGCCAATACAGATTTTTGCTGGAGAAAGTGGAGTTCTTAGCCATGTATGAGATACGTCCTTGTTTGTAGAATAACTCCATCCAAAGTCCAACTTTAACTGAAACTAACACAAAGTGACACCTAGTGATGGTTGACTATTTGATAACTAAAGACTCTTCAAGTTCAATCTTTTTGTTCAATGTGCTGTCAGTAACAACTTACTACAGTGCATGTACACCCTGTTTTTATTCAGCTAGGATTTTGAGCAAATAGCGTTTGTTTGATCATGGTCTGTCAGGGCGAACCCTCCTGGAGAAGCTGTTCCTGCAGCAGCAGCAGCAGGAGGAGCCGGAGGAGGCGGAGCGGCTCTGCTCCAGGATCCTGGCCATGGGGCTCCTGCTGCCGTTCGCTGACTGCTTCAGAGAGCAGCTGGAGGGCAGCACCACCCACCTCCCCTCCACAGCATCAGCCAAATTTGATGTATGTAGACACACTTCATAAAAGTTTTTCAAAGCTGTGGTTGGGCTATGTTTGCTGCTGTGTTCTTAATAGAACCCTGGTACTTGTGGGTTATCTGTCGCCATTTTCTAGGTTTAGGGTTAGGGTTGGGATTGGAAAATGTAATTAAAAAGTGACGACAATTATTGGGGATTTGTGTTTGATCTTTATAAGTATTACCTAGGTGCCATACAACATACAAAGTGTAGGCCGGGATTGCCTGAGTAGGGCTATTTCTTCTTACGTCAAAAGTAGTGCTGTCAGTCGTTTAACACATTTAACCATGTCAATCACAATAACAATATTACTAATCATTATTAAACACATGATTACATACTAGTATTTAATTGTATTTAAGGTGGAAATAAAGTCAATACATGTGTCCCTAAACCTACATTTAAAAAAAAAAGTACCTAAATTATTTCTAAAGTGAGAAGGCATCTAACAAACTGAATGCCATGTATTTTAGGAAACAAAGTGAACAGTCCCTTTTCACACTGTGTCGAATAACATTACTCAGTGTGAACATTGTTGTCCTTCCACTAGTCAACTAGTTCATAAAGTACCTTTCTTTAGAGCAGTTGCACAGGCAGACGAGCTTAGCTAAAGCATTGACAAAGCCACTGTTACTGACATGCCCTCTGTATAATGTGCTCTAGACAGGGTTACATCTCAACACCGGGGGATATCTCCTCAGTCATCAGTTTATCTCTATTTGCTGTGTAGTCACACACATTTATAAAGGTTTTAGGTTTCCAGAGACCGCAGGTGTTAATGCGTTAACGTGTTTGGGAACATGTCTAGGAAAAATGGAGGTGCCAAAAATGGCAACTAGCAGTACTGGCAGTGCTAATAGTGCTAACAGCGCAAACAGGGACAACAGTGCTGACAGAGCCTACAGTGTCTAACCTGGAGGGGGGGCAGCAACAGCTGTATGAGCGACTGTGATTGAACAGCCAGTGGGACACACAGGGACTCACCTTCACTAACATGCATGCACGACGGGCGGCCAATGAAACAATGCAGAAGATCTGAGAAAGTGACTTCATTCTGAACCAGATTATATTTTGTCTTAGCAAAGCAAATATCTGTTTGCTATTACATTCAACCATACATCATCATCATGTTTGTTGTGAAGGTTCTGTGCACATACACATCCTGTGATCTGCAGTGTGGTCTTGCAGAGCCCACACACGCCATATCATCTATCTTTTCTTTGTTTTGGTCAGTGGATGTTTTGGCATTGCAAGACCACAGCCTATACTGTATGTAATGTATATTAATTTCCTCACCAATATATGCATTAGCACATGCTCATGATTGCAGGGGCAACCTAGTCCAAGAGGATGTGGGATGTGATGAAAAGAGTATAACATATTTTTACAATCTCAGTTTCAGAAAATTCTATATGTTTTTTATTCTATCCTACGTATGAACATTTCGTTGCTACTACTTACAAAAACGTAAAACATACTTGTTACTACGTACTTGCTTTTAAATGTACCTAACATACTGTATGAATATTTTGTATTTTTTCTCCTTTTTGTGTTAACCCTGTGTGACATATTTCCTATTTTGACTCACAATGCTGTGAATCAGAATTAGTTTGTTCACAGCATCGTTACTAAGGCAACATACTGTTAAATGGTGGAGTAAAAGTACAAATATTTGCTGTACATTGTCATATTTGTAGAATGATAATCAAAAGCCCCCCCCCCCCACAGCATGACCAGCTGTATACCTGGGCAGCAGTTAACCAGCCCTCTCACTCCCTGGATTCTCTGGAGGGGAAACTACCGGCGCAGCTGAGGGGCCCCTGGGCTCCTGTTAAACCAGGAGGGGACACCAAGACTGGGCTCAAAGCCACAGAGGCGGGTAAGATCAACACAAACTCATCATCTATATATATATATATATATATATATATATATATACACATATATATCGCAAGCTGGCTACTTAACAGGGCTGATAAGTCTTTCTCAACGGTAGCTCTTTATTTGTGTAGACAGTAGATTGTTGGAAAGATGCTGAGATTTATGTGAGTCCCTCAAAGTTTGGAACTTAGGATCAGAATTTGTATCCACTGACAATCATCTTGTTTTTTGGACTAGTCTACTTTGTGTTAGTCCCATTTTTCATGTATTATAATCTGTTTATGCTTCACAGTATGTGTTAAGATTTGCTGGGTGTGACAGCCATGAGAGATGTATCCATTGAGTCCATGTTCAGTCTAGAGATACACAGTTTTGGACAGTTGTTAAGCCCAAGTGAGCACATATTCTTAATGTCTGACAGTTCCAGTACCAAGAGGTAGATGTTAGCTAAAGGTTCAGTGTTCTTGAAGAGGAATACCATGAGTTGATTAGGTCAAACATTGATACAAAACTGTTACTGTTCTTTTCAAACCACAAAGAACAGCATAGAACTGATTTTATGTTAGTATTACAGTAAGATTTATGAATTATTTACTTAATTGTATTCTGCCACATGTGTTTTGTTGAGTCTCTTTCCCTCCTAAAGAGGAACACATTGGGGAAAAAGGCAGGGTGGAAGCTAGCATCAAGAGGGAAGCATTGTTATGTGTGTCCAAGTGCTTAAGATTCACTGATGATCGGCCCAGTTTTAGACAAGGATTCTCACCTTTGTATTTGTTTTTCTTCCTTTTTCCATATCCTATGAAGATAGGATATGGAAAAAGGAAGAAAAATGTACATACAAACCAATGAACATCCCATTCAGATCTTAATGGGATGTTCATGCTTTGGCATTTTAGAAGTCAATCAAGGTGAGTGTAAGGGAAACTTCTGCAGCAATGGAGAGTCAGGACTCAGAGAGACACAAGGAGAGTTGGAGCTTTGTTCACATCACAAGTCACACAGCCAGAGATTCTGACTGCCCTGGTGGGTTGCCATGTCAAATCTGACCAGCCTCTCTCTAGATAGACCTTTTAACTAGTTTACAGAGAGTTAATCCACATATTGGGGGATGGTGCGTAAACACCTGGGAACACTGGAGATATCGCCAACATCTGTAAATACTGAATCACTTGTCTGTGGGGCTTAGAAGCCAGCGTTCTCACAGTCCTAAAACCCTCTGTGACCGATAGGTCAGGCCATACAACTGGTAATGTCAACAATAGCTGAGACTTCCCATTCCTTAAGGCGAGACACCCCAGGTGAATAGGGTAATTTTTTTCACTTAAAGGTATCAGCTAGAAATTTCTCCAGTTAATTACTTACAATAAGGCAATTGTCTTTTGTATTACAAGTGTTCTGAAATAGCATGTTTAAATATGCAAATTATCCATTATCTCATTAAATATGCACATATTTTAACACATTTCAGGAATCGAAATCTGAACTTTGGATATAGCCAGATTCAAAATTCTTGTTTCATTTTGTAGTCATATTAGTATCTAAGGCTTTTACAGAAGGGATATTGGATATCTCTTTTTATCACTCCATAAATCAGAAAATACTGTCAACAGCCCTAAAATATCCATTTTCGCCATGTTTTTAGGTATACAATGTTGTATAATTCAGGATATGAATTATATATGAACAAACCCTTATGTAAAAGCCTTCATAATATTTATAGGAATATAACTGGAAGGTTTGGTGTATCTACGTTCTACTGAAGTTGACATTTCGAACTCAGAGTTGGAGAAAAAACTCATTTTGAGAAAACGACCTTTAAAGATTGCAGTGAGGCGCTAGCTAAACCCTCCTGTTCTTTGAATGACAGCTTGCGCATCGACGCACTCCGTGAAGGTATTTCATGTTCAGGGTCATTTTTTTTTTATAACCTTGCTTGTGCAAGTGACAATTGTTGTCGTCTTCTCTGTGAACGTTTTTTTCGCCGTTCTTTTGGCATTTTGAGATTTCAATTTCTAGCTGAAAGCTAACCAGGAAGTGTTTTAGCACACCACGTGACGCATCTGAACGAATCACGTTGTCAGAAATTGACACCAGCCAATGAGATTTCGTTTCTTGGTTTAAGACCCCTTTGTGCTTTCACGATTGGTTGCTGATACAAAGGAAATGACCATATTTGGATCCGATGAGATTGTGCAGGAGATACACAGCTTTCCAGCGATACCTCTGTTGACATGGTGCACACAGCGGTCGCGGTACTTTATGTTACGTTAGAATGCTAACTTTTGGTGAATTTAGGAGAAATCTACAGACGCAAATAGACAAACTATAGTAAAATAAACACTTAAATGTGTATTTTGTACGTTTTCCTTCCAAAAGCCTGAAAGAAAACATGTTATGGAATCAAAATAGCACAAAATCTCAAAATTGACCAGTACTTGAAAAACGATGTTTTTGCCTGCCGTGTCTCGCCTTAAACGGCCCGTACACACAGCAGCTTTTGGCGATTTGTCCACCGCTTCCAGCGCGTCTCCGCCCATTGACTTTGAATGGGGATGACGTCACTTTCCCTCGCTTGTCGCCGAACTGCATTGTGGGGGGGCGAGGCGAAGATTTCCAGGATTTCCAGGATGTTCACGGCCCGTCCACACAGCAGCTTTTGGCGATTTGTCCACCGCTTCCAGCGCGTCTCCGCCCATTGACTTTGAATGGGGATGACGTCACTTTCCCTCGCTTGTCGCCGAACTGCATTGTGGGGGGGCGAGGCGAAGATTTCCAGGATTTCCAGGATGTTCAGGATTCCAAAGTTGAACATTGTTCAACTTTTGAGGCTGAGCTGGAAGCGACAGCCAATCAGATCCGTTTATGCAAATCTGACAGTTCAAGCGCTAGCCAATCAAACCGCGTGCAAGCTGGGAGAACGAGACCCGCAGTTCATTTCTATATTCCACAAAAATGGAGGAGAACTTAGTTATTGCGGTAGCAAATCACCCGGTTCTTTATGACCAGTCCCTATTTACTTACCGGGATACAAACCGGAGGAACCAGGCATGGGGGGAGGTGGCAGAGGCAGTGGGTGAAACTGGTAGGTTTTCGCTCGTTTGGGGATTTTATATCCAGTTTACTTCGTTGCTAGTTTACTTTGTTGATAGCAAGCATAGACAGTATCATTAGCCAGCATGGAATGTAGCATAAAATAGCACCATAAACATTAATCTCATAAATGTTCAAAATGTTAAAAAAATAAATGTTCATCATAGCCCTTCCTATTTGACAATAGTGTAGAAGAACCGGGTTTTTTTGCTTTGTATGTCGGGGGGCGGGATATTCATGTGATATTCATGTGATTGGTTGTTGGTCGCGAAATCCCCAAGCTGTCAGACACGCCCAGCTCCAGGATTTTCAAGATTTGGTCAAAGCTGCTGTGTGGACACACCGTTAAGACAGATAACAGACTCAGGGGGTTGGTCGTAAACGTCAACACACAGAAAAGGTTCAATATCTTAGGAGTAAGGAAGAATTATTCTTTGACAGTGAGTAGTCATTTCTGTAACCTGGAAGCCAGAGGATTTGCAATTGCTAGCAGATTGAGATTGATGGTACGGGGCTATGATAATATTAAGTTCCCTAAAGTATGCTGAGTCTTTTAATTTAACTTTTCTTTTTTAATCTGACCTCCTATTTTGTATTACACAATTTCCCGCATATACATTAGTGCTCTCTAAAATAACAGTGATAGGGCAGGGACACCATGATGACATGGAAAGTTGGTGTTTGGCAGCATCGTTGGAGAGCTAAATGCATCACTCAGATTACACTCTAATGCTCACCTCTCACTGCTGGCATGTCAAAGACTCCTACCCATAATGTCAAATTGCTCTGAAAGCCATCAGCCGTGTGTGAGTGTGTGTGTGAGTTAGATGATAAACAACGCTTGGAAAGCAGCCTTGCCATCAGTGAATGAATGTGTGTATGGATCATAGGTATGGATGAAGAAATGCTGGCAGGTAGTGTAACAGTGCTTCAGGTGGTCAGAATACTCTTTTGTTTATGGTATTGTATTTTGTCATTTCAGCAAATAACAAAAAACAAATACTTTTTTATATACCATTTGAATTTGAATGTGTTGATACATTTTGTCCTTCAGTACTATTAATTAGTATTATCTCTCTATCTGATAACACTTTAGTGGGTCCAGTTACTCATGCTGACACTCTGCTGTCCACAGGACCAGAGGGACCCCCATCTCTGTTTCTATATTAACCTTCTGTTCAGCTTCAAATCTCTTCTGATTAAGAACTAATTTTCCTTCAACAAATTCATATGAAATTCCTAAATCTATCCAAGATGTTAGGTGTGCCAAGAATTGAGTGTGTGCAGCTTAATGTGTTTTTTGCTACATGTGCAGTTCATTTTCATGTACATGTACATACAAACCAATTTAAATACTCTTCACTGAGTGCCACAGATTAAACCCGGCAGAGACACTTGTGATGGGATTTCCCTTGAGCAATACAATTGGAAAACACAAAGAAGCTGCTGGAATTTGGAACTGATGTCTAACAACATCGACAGTTTAATATAAAGGCTTGTGCAAGGGAACAAACAGAACACAGAGAAGTGTGTCCGGCTGATCTCTCTTCTGCTCTGCATATTTAACTGACCCTTAGATAATAAACAAATATACCTTCAGGCAAAACATGTTAACACTCCAAAAACAGAGACGCCACCTAACAGCTGCATGGTGTGACATGAAACCTACTTAAGTAATTCCTAACACAAAAACAGAAAAGGACATTCTAATCAGAAAATATGTATAACATCCAATGTTTTAATATATATTTATATATACTGTACAGTATGCATTGCATCATGTATCACAAATAGTACTTTTTCATACCAAGGACCACTTAACCAATAAAAAAACACTCGCGGACCACCTAACTCCACAAATATCCAAAATCACATCGTTTTTCTAGAACAGATTACAAATCGCCTGAAAATGGTACAAACAAGTGGAAAGGTAATAGTTCCTGAAATCTCAAAAGAGCACCATGTGTAAAGAACTGATTCATGTATTCAATCAAAGTATTGAAATCCTGGAAAATGTGGAAACCCTTACCTGTCTATAAAGTATAGGGCATCTTCCACCCCACACTCAGTCCTCTGCTGCACATCCACAAATCTTGTATGCCTCAGAAGAGCCTCCTTCAGAGGGAGTTTATTGATGCCATACTCCACAGCCCTGACCAGAAATGCCAGTGCTGCCTGTTGGAATAGCTGCACTTCCTGAGGTGTGATGTCTCCAGCCTCAAGGAGCCTATTGAGGGTAGCTCTGGTGGTGAAGCCAACATTTAGATTTTCTCCTACCAGACAGAGAACAGAAAGAGATAGAGAAGCAAATTAAGTCCAGGTAGTTTCAACAATATGCATCAGGTAGAGACAGGGATTTCACTTGGCAATTTAACTCAAAACTAGACAAACAGTCAGTGTATAGATTCAGTCTGTCTACTTTTGAGCACTATGTGCACAATAAGTGCAAGTGGTTGAAGGTATTCCTCTATGTAAGCATACCATTTTACCCATAAACTACACAAGCATGGTATGCCTACACACATGCTTTTTAACAGCCATAACAGAGATATCACCCAACTCGCCCAATAACAACAATCTTCCCAAAAAGTATATTTGAGGTCAATGAGAATACAGACTCCTTATATGAAACTTTTACCTGGCAGTTGGTTTAGTGGGTCCTTGTAGAGGATGTCATGGACTTGTCGGCCCTGTAGTGCTGACGGCTTCATGAACCTCGCACACAGTTTCTTGATGAACTTTGTCATCTGCAAATTTGTAGTTCATAAAACATTTCCATGTATTACTTGAAAAAGGACATATCAGCCAATTCAAGCAGACATACTGTATTTGGCAGCAGGATGGCCTAACCCTTGCATTTTACCTCTCCGTGGAGCTGAAAGATGGAAGACCTTTCTCTGGAGGAGGAGGTTCAGTAGGGTGAACACTGGCAGCGTCGCTTGATAGAAGAGTAGGTAGACTTCAGTCAGGGGGTTGGAAAATGCATCCACCAGCCTTCTAAATCTTGGTTGTTTCTCATCTGTGAATAAACAGTCAGTGCTTAAAAGTACACATTTAGTCTGGTGTAATGCACCTGTATTACGTCAATGAAACAAACAACATACTTAAAGACTTAAAATAGCTGGTAAGTGGCCCATACTGTCGCAGAATTTGTGTGATGCACCTCTCCAGGCTTAACCATCGCACTGAAATGTGCAGCAGCATTTCCATGTACTCGCTCTCATGGAATTCACAACATTCTGGAAAATATAAAACATAACATCAACAGTAAACAAATTAAAAATGTCTGCATTTTGTTGTATAACAGTAGAGCTGGTTGAATCACAAACCTGCCAGGTAACCTTTACGGTTGGTGCTTCCTTTAAACCAGTACCCAACATCCTCGGTCAGATCCTCTGGATCAAATCCGGATATCTGCAATACATGAATTCAAGTATCTATTGCAACACTATCAGCAAACTGTTTTACATGGCATTGGGCTTAACGGATTGGTAATATAGAGTGTACATGTTTGAACTTACTTCCATAAACTTCTGTTTGGCAGTGTTGTGGATGATATGACAGGGGCATCCATGGATGTAAATACTGCCATTTTCCTTCAACATTCTGGCTGAGATTGAATTTCTGGCAGCTGTATTTACAGGGGCATTGTCAATAGAGAGACCTACACAATTTCTCCAAGGGATGTCATTTTCCTGCAAGGTGTCAATGATGTTTGTGTAGATCACTTCAGCGGTGCCACAGCTCCTCCCACTGGTGGTGCACATATCAAGGAACCTGTGCACAACTTTGTTGGTGTCAAAAATTCTGACAGTGAGAGGATTCATCTTCTCTAGACCTGTAACAATAAGGACCATAACTAAAACAATATGTTGTTCAAATTGTATGAGTGCATGTAGAAATGGATAAAAAATAAGTACTAATTACTGATAGAAGTTGTTAAGCACATACCAGTATCATTCGAGCCATCTGTGACAAGTGTGAAGGGATTCTCTCTCATCTTCATCACCAGTTCCTTCTTAAAATGAGGTGCCACTGCTTCATTTATGAGACACGTTGTTTTTGTGCTTGCGCTCTTAAAGCCCTGAGCTGTAGGGGAGTCTCTAAAACATTCTTTGTACAAGGGGCTGAAATGGTCAGCAACGGCAAAGGGAACATTGTGCTGCACCATTGCAACAGCAACCTTCACCTCAGCCCTCCTGGTCTGCAACAGAAACAACTGATTACATACCTCATAACCTTAAATACGTTTTCAAGGTAATATGACCATCAATTTGAAGAGAAATGTAATTCATCAAACATTGCCACCAGCTTTTTAGTTTTCCTGTGCTACACTATACTGTATGTACCTTGGCCTCTTGTACACTCATGCCTCCAACAGAAGTTTCTGGCACATAGAACTGTGCAATACTGCTGACTGAGTTTAGAGACTGTTCTTTGGCCCGATGTCCCTTGCCTTCCACATGCCTGCTTATGTCCCTCACGCCTTGATGAGCACAGGAGTTCTCTTGTCTGCACACTGAGCACCAGTAGAAGGAGCTGGTGGTTCCCATTGTGATGAATGGCCATCGAGTTGACCACTCCTTCTTAAAGGAACACCTTTATGTGGCTGCTCCACATAATCCTCTCCTTTTCTCTGTTTCCAATGGGTTCTCCCCAGTCTCCTCCACTGCCTCCTCTACCTCCTCCACAGTCTCCTCTACTGCCTCCTCTACTGCCTCCTCTACAGTGTCCTCTGACCTGGCCACCTTTTTAGGGAGCTGATTGTTTTTGAAAGCATGAAAGAATGCTTAGTTGCCTCTTTCCTGACATCTTTGAAAGACAAATGCAATAATTATTAATATGCTTTGTTTTCTGATAAAATATACACACACTCACGCCAGGGATGGAAATGAACACCAACCATCAGCCAAATGCTGGTAAAACATAACAGTGGCTGGTAGATTTTAAATGCATAATACAAATGTACCATTGGTTTACTACTGAATGGCTGGTAGTTTTTCCCCAGTGGCTGGGAAATGTTCATGTGTTGTTTTGAAAAATGTATTTCCAGCCCTGGTGCGCGCACACACCGGAAAAATAGGAGACACAGGGACAGTCCAACAAGGGAGCAAATAGCCTTGGTGCTTACTACAATAACAATAATGATAATAATAAATAACAATAATAATCATTATAATAAGTTAGTGTAGGCGCAAAATTCCGAAGAAAACAAGCGTCAGAATAGCTGCTGAAATTAGCTAGCAGTGATTCAACCGGCTAGCTAGGCTAGTTCATGCATACTCTAGTAGTCTAGTCAGTCAAACTGTTAGCTAAAAGCTCCCTGGACATATATTCCATAACAACGGAAATCAATGATGAGATGTGTAAACCTATGGGGGTTATTCCCTATCTTTATTCAAGAGCGTGGTATTTAAATTTGAGAGCATACTTTATGTATTTATTTCCCTCAAACCCTGTCCTCGCACTCAAATAGTGCCTGCTTGCACTTAGATTTGCTCTGCTTGTGCTCAAACTGTACACTTGCACTCAGATATATTGCTGCTTACATATTTTTTCTGCTCTCAGATTTATTCTGTGCGCGCTCGAAACTTTTGTGCAACAATCCTGTCAAAATCCCTCAACCAATAGGAGGCCAGGTGTCCTTGCGGGTGCGTTCGCTTTACTTATTACAGCGTCCCGTAAGGGCGGTTACTCTTTGGTTTATAAACTCCCGCCCTCCACGGCTTTATAACATAGCATGTACTTCACTTGTTTGATTTACAACTTTTTTGGGGGGGGGGGGGGGGGGGGGGGGGGGGGAGCACAGTTAGTATATATATACCAGCACCTTACAAAATAGCTACGTTCAGTGGCGTACTGGGACTAAAAATCAGCCCGGGAATCTCGACCGGCCCTCGTTATTGCTAGTAAATTGTCAACGGGGGAAGGGGGGATTGCTAGTGAATTTTCCGACCGGCCCACTTCTTCTCCAGACTGTTGTTCTGCTCCAGCACTGTTGTGCTACGGCTTGGTTCGGCCCGACGCGAAGCGGGAGTGTCGACAACTCCATATTGTATAGATATTCGTATATCACGGCCTGAAGTGAGCTATTGCATTTATAAAACGGTTACCACGTGTGGCTGACAATGTGAAAGAAAAATACACACTCCAATTTAAATAGTTTTTATTATTAAATAATGATGTTCAAAATAAAATAGTCCCTCCGTTGCCTTCTGCACAGAACATAGTGCGAGGTGGTTGCTATGCAACAACAATAACAGCTAGAGAACATATTAGTCCAGGGTTGCCAACTTTGGGTACCTGGCTGGAGTGAGATTTAGGATATATATATACAATATATACAAATACACAATATTGGACACAGACTATAAAGGGCACACAGTTTCATTCACTAATGAAAGTCAAACACATGTTTGTTTCCACTGTTTTATGTGTGCATAGGCCTGTCGCGATAAGCAATTAATTGACTTATCGTACGATAAATAAAAATGAACTCGATAAATTTCCATTTACATGAGGATGTGACTAGCAGTTTGAAAGGATGTACTTTAATTGTTATTATATATTATCATTATGTCAGTGGTCTAAAATGGTCATACAACGGTGCCGCAATATTATCGTTTATCACAATAATTTCCGGGAAAATGTAACCAACAAAATTAATTATCGTGAGATGCACATGAAACACACACACACAAACACATTTACAGACGTACTCCAAACTGCCAAATATATTAATTAACACACTCTCACTCTCATACTCTTTGACTCTATTTTGGCCTATTCATTTCTACTGGATCTTAGATCTGCGCATGCGCAATACGGGGCGGCAGTGGCGGCCACGGAATATTTTTGTTGGGTAATCTGATAGGGCCGGCTAACCCATACAGTGGTGGTGGGGCTCAAATCAGCATTTGCAATGTAATTACATACACGCTCCCCTTGACAGTGAAACGCCACCCGTGAGGTTTAGATTATTTCCCTGTCTCAATCCAAATTGAACTGTATGAAATAAAAAGGCACATTTGTCTTGTAGTAAATAAAAAGGGCGACCTGGAGCCAATCCTGCAACTTCCCCACAAGTGAAAGAGTTGACATGCTGAAAACCCAACCCCTGTGGGATTCTCCCCCAGGAGATTTTTTGAAATACTAACATAAAATACACATTCTGGTACTCTCTTGAGAATAAAAATAAATACATCTATTACTACACGACATATTTAAAAAAAAAATGAATGCCATTTTAGTTTTGTGTTATTTTGTTCTGAAAGCTGAGCCTGCTGCTCCTCACAGAGAGAAGAGGGAAGAGGCTGTGAATTACTTTACATTGTGGATAAGGGTGGATAGCCCCCATTGTTCTGTGTGTCAAAATGAAAGACAGCCCACACACCTATCAATCATCAAACCGTGGGGTCTTATTTCATTACGTGTTGATTTCTATCAACACGTAATGTTGTATCGATGTATAGAGATTAGAGATGTTAAGATTCACCGATTCCCATCGGTGCATCGGCATAAACGTTCAAGATGCGAGTGCACCGGTTGAAAGAGTGCACATCGGCTACAGTTTGGGTTGAACCGGGTTGAACTCGCGATGCATCGATTGCGTAGCGTCTTTGCATCGGTAAAAAACCGATTCATTCATATAAAATCCCCTAATCTTGTCAACGCTCAGCAGATACGATCTTTGATATCTTCGCCACTACGGAGGCCGAGAGTCTCAGTTATCAACACACACGGAAGTCGAGGAGAAAGAGAAACACAGCGCACCGAAAAATACCTACAAATCAAACGTTTGGCAACACTTCGGATTGTTCAAGAAAGACGGTGTAATAGTCCTTTATGCTAGGCTATATAGTTGACCGCAGGTCATGGAGAGTAATAAGGTATCCGTAGACCTTTGTATGAGGTATCTTTATTACTTAACAGGTCTACAGCCATGATACATAGATCCGTCCTAGATGCGGGCTTGCATACACACAGTATCACTCCGCAGCCGCACCCCATCAGTAACATCCTGATGGTATATGTGCGCGGCACAGACGGTCAACTTGAAAAATTGCTCGCAAATTGTTAACGATGCCGAGCCGATTTAAAGTACACAAGTAGTACGAGGAACTTAGCGACGCACATAAAGAGTCGACATGGGGTCTGCGGCTGAAAAGAGAAACCTCAAAGTTAGACATATGAGTTAAATCACTCAGTGAGGTGTTCTGTCAGAGAGAGTGGTGTTTAGTTTACAGCAGCCTGTGACGGCCAATAATAATTTAAATGTATTCCTCACTGTAAGCAGTTATGAAATACCTGTTTGTGAAAGGTTATTTGTATTCTTTGTTGTTCATATAGAACCCACTGCTTTCTGCTCACTGGTGAGTTAGCCTATGAATGAGTGTTAAGCACATCAGGCTGGCAGCTGTATGGGCATTGCTCTATGGTAGCTGTTATTTGCACATTGTTAATCATGAGCAATGCATCCTTACATTGTTTAACTGTGAGGTGTTATACAATTGTACTCTGGAGAGCTTTTAAAAGTAAAAAAATAAACGGCATGATGGGATGTGCAGTACCAAATATGTAAAGCACTTTTTTGTTAATGTATGATTTGCTGCATATAAGGAATAAAACAAAAATCCTCTGTTGTACCAAATTGAAGTATCATTATTTTTGCATCGTGTTGAATCGCATCGTATCGCACCGAATCGCATAATGTTGAATCAAATCGTATCGAACTGTATCGCAACAGGGGTGAATCGTATCGTATCGCATCGCCTGGTGTTTCAAATGTATCGTTAATGTATCGTATCGTGGCAACGTATCGAGATGCGCATCGCATCGGCCTCAGTGATGGAGATGCACATCCCTAATAGAGATGTATTACAGCAAAAGTATTCTCCGTCGGGACTTCCTGCAAGTACACCACGCCGTTATCGTGATTCTGATTGGCCAGAAGACATTATCAAAGATGTTCTATTGAGAAGACGATCACTACGTGACAAAAGTTTTTAAAACCCTTTCTAGTCTTCGGTATTCTTGTTTTGGCGTGAGAATAGTTTGGGCAGCGTGAGAGCGTGAGATTGAGAGTGAAAGCGTGTGTCACACGCCAGATGCGTGAGAGTTGGCAACCCTGTATTAGACGTCGTTTAGGTGCTTTTTTTGTGTGGAGATAGGCACTTCTCAATCCACTCCTCCATAGTAAGGCCACCCGGAGGTCAAAGTTAACCTTAAATGTTTCCATCTTAAGCTTTGTTAGTTAGCCTAGTTAGTTAGTTTCATAACGGACGTAATGTAACAGTTGTAACGGTTCTCAGACGCGGAGGGATACTGATTTTTGAAAAGTAACTACAATTATACCCGGGATATACGCTCATTATATCAGCTAAGAAACATCAGA